TTTTTTTTTTAAGTTTTATTTCATTCATGTGTCTTTATCTGGTTTTCGTATCAGGGTGATACTAGCCTCATAGAATTAGTTTGGAAGGATTCCCTCTTTTTCTATCCCATGGAATAATTTGAAGAGTATTGGTGTTAATTCTTCTTGAAGGTCTTATAGAACTCGGCTCAGAATCCATCTGGTTCTGAGCTTTTCTTAGTTGGTAGGCTTTTGACAGCGTCAAAATTGCTTGAAATTGGTCTGTTTAAACTGTGTTTGTCCTCCTGATTCAGTTTGGGTAGATCATATGTCTTTAGAAATTTGTCAATATCTTCAAGATTTTCTATTTTATTGGAGTATAAATTTTCAAAATAGTTTCTAAATATCATCTGTATTTCAATAGTGTCCATCGTGATATTTCCTTCTTCATCACCAACTTAACAGCACCCAATGCAAACAATGTACAGCCTTAAACCAAATAGCTCCTATTAAGCCTCTACAGTTTTGTTTCAAGAAACAGAAATGGCGTGTTCAATTATTGTCTATAATGTAAACAGTAAGCTTGCTAAAAGGGTTTACTGTTTCAAATGATGAATGATGAGGGAACGGACGTAGTATAAAATGTGATGTTTATAAGGGGAAAGGATAGAAGATAGAGGTAAAGATTTATAGTAAGAGCAAGGGAAGAATTAATAGAAGGTGGTTCTTAGTATGAGAGAAGTGAGAAAGAGATTCCAGGGAGATAGGTGAGAGAAAAATATATATACAGTTTAAAGAAAAAAAGAAAATATAAGCATATACAACAAAACTGTAATATACTAGTCAGACATCCCATTCCCTAATAAATTGATGCATGATAAATATTTGGATTCAACGATAGTAGAGATGAAGGGGGAAAAGTCTCAATGGAAAATTGAATGATTGCTTCTGTTGGCTTTCAAAAATTTTCTCAGCTTCCCTTCTCTGTGGAGAGGTGGGGTTGTCTGAAGTTTGATGGTAACTCCAGTCCAGTAGGTGCCAAACTGGTTGGCTGGGCAAGCTGATGGCAAGATGCCCTCACACACTCTTTCAGGTTTCCCAACCATTTTAGCTGGCCCCTTCCATCCCTGTGCACTTCAGGGCTCACTGAGCAGGCGAGAACCTGGTTTTCTTCAATTTCTCCAACCTGTGCTCCCCCAGGGATACTGCCCCCAGTCTCTGGCTTCCCACAGGTTTGCTAGACCCTGACTGGCCCTGTAATCTGAAGAACTAGCTGTAATCTGAAGAACCTGGGCTTCAGCTTCTCCAGGCTCTGCCTTGCTGCAGTCCCAAGATACCAATGCCATTTCCACTTGCAGAGAGACCACCATGCTCTCACACAAAGGAGAGACCCTGCAAAGAGGCACCAATGGCGGCCACTAGCACACCCAGCAGAAAGGCCTCAGGTGCAACCAGACTTGCAGGTACCCCAACAATATATCTCCAGGCCTGGGCCAGTGTCCCCAGACTGAGACAGGCACACCCCACGATGGTAGCAGTGGCGAACCTGCAGACCCTGGCTGGTGTCCCAAGATGGCAGCAGCTGCATGTAACCAAACCTGCTGGTAGTGTGACAAGGGAAGAATGGGGGATAAACAGCAAGGGGTCAGTTGGCAGCCATGGCTGCCTCTCAGAGAAACAATATTTCCTCTGCTTGAATCCCCAATTAAGGAGCAACAAGAAATACAACAAGGAATGCTTACCTCAGCAGGAATAATTCAAACCTTAAGTTCACCATCTTGAATCTCCAGAAACTTAGATCATTGATCTTGAAACATTTTTCTTTTTAAAATAGGCATTTAAACCTCTAAATTCCTCAAGTCCCAATTTTTGATTAATTATTTTTCAATAGCATTAGATTCAAAATATTTTTAATTTCATTTGTGATTTTGTTTTCACTAAGCTATGGATTAATACATGTATTATTTCAATATCCAGGTATTTGAGGAATTTTCTAGAGAGCTCCTTAGAATTAATTTCTCATTTAATTTCCTTATCGCCAAAGATATACTCTCTGTGATTTTAATCCTTTTAAATTAATTGAGATTTGTTTTATGGCTCAGCATGTAGCTATTTCAGGAAATGTCCAACGTGCACTTGAGAAGAACAAGCATTCTGCATTGTTTGATGTAGTTCACTGTGTTGATTGTGTATATTTATTGTCAGTGTCATTAAGATTTTATATACCCTTACTGATGTTTTACTTATTATTTTGATTACTGACAGAGAAATGTTAAAAACACCAACTATGATTGTGGATTTATCCATGTGTTAATGAAGCCAGAATTACACAGGCAGATAGGCAAAGGTTGATCTGGAGAATGGAGAAATTGAAATGTTAATTCCTTCAGAACCCTTCCTCCACCCTTATCAAGATAACCTGCCCCTGCTCCAACCTGTTGCTAAGGTAACCTGTCCCAGGGATTGTCCCTCTCTACAGAGAGTTGTTAATTACACCCCCTTCCTGCCCAGATCACTCCTCCCTAGTCCCTCCAGTTTACCCATTTACCATCTTTTGATCATGCCACCTAGCATTTCTTGTTCCTTTGTACATCCAGTAATTTATTTGAATATTGGGTATTACTCACAATATAGATAGAAACTCTGTATTCTGTTATCTGCCTTAATGGAATGTTAATTTTTTTAAAAAAAATTTTTAGTTGTAGGTGGACACAACACCTCTATTTTAATTATTTATTTTTATGCGGTGCTGAGGCTCGAACCCTCACAAGTTGCTAGGCAAGTGCTGTACCATTGAGTCAGAACCCCAGCCCCAAGGAATGTTAACGTTTATTGTAGCACACAGATCAATTGTTGGCTGATCATCCTGAACTTGTATAGATTTGTCTTTATACTTTGTCGAGTAGATGTATAGAAAGCTTTCCCATTTAGCTCGTATAAGGATTCATATTGTAGAGCAGGTTGAGAGAGTAGGTCTTACTCTCTGTAAGGTGTGGTCCTTATCCTCAGGTGCAGCATTCTTGGTTTCGAACCTTAAGAAGTTTACAAGATATTAATGATGACTATCCACTGTAGCTGTGGAAGATCTCCAATATCTACAAATTCTGTTCAATCTTTACTATCTCTGTTCTATACTCAGTTGTGTAGTAGTTGTTTTCTGGTAATCCTTGTATAGTCTTTCCCTTCAGATGAGATTAAAATTCTCAACCAAAAACTGAGGCAGAGTTCCATCCAAGACCTCACCCCAATTCTGTGAAGCTCCTCCCCTCTGACACCCTGCCTTGCAGATTCTAGTCACTTCCAACATTCCAAACTCTAAGTTTCCTCAGCTCAACAGTATCATACATAGTGCTCTGCTTAGATCATAGCTCCCTGTGCCATGTCCGGGAGAATGTTGCCGGGCAAATCTACAACAATGTGAGGCTCATCTCATGGGTTTAAATTGGGATCATGGTTTATATTGCCTGTTTTCCAGTGTGTAAA